TTGGTTCTGACACTGAGGCTGGATCAGTGGTAGAAGCTAGACCATGTGAGGCCAGATCAGCGGTGGGAGCTAGACCATGTGAGGCCAGATCAGTGGTGGGAACTAGACCATGTGAAGCCAGATCAGTGGTGGGAGCTAGACCATGAGACCACATGGTATTCAACCACAGGTACACCAATCAAAAGAAGAAATAAAACTGCAAACTTATCACACAAGGGGCACTATGGAAAGGTCAGCAGCAGGCTGCCCTCTGGTGCCTTTGGATCTGAATAGTTCTAAGTTGTCTTGTGTGTCAGAAGAGTAGGAAAGGGCGTTCCTAGTGTCTAGCTGCTAGTCTCTGATGTTGCCGGAGACAGATGCATCCCAAGCCTCCTTCTCCTCATCTCTTACAGAAGGCTCATAGGTAAGGGATTAGGAGTGCCTATTTCACACCATTGTGAAGGTTAGATGCCATCATTGCATTAAAAGCACAAGACACGTAGTGAGCCTTTGTCAACGCTATCTGTTGCTACAATTAATTAGGGGCAGGTCTTTTCAGAACCGAGTGAATCCCACTCAGTAGGATTCCAAACTGAAGAGCTCATCACCGCAATCTTCAGTTCATACAAGTTTACTCTTTTTCTTCTTATTAATTTTGTGGCATGAGGGATCGAACCCAGGACTTTGCACACACTAGACAGGCATTTTACCATTGACCTACACCCCGAGTCCTTTTTATTTTTATTTAGAGACAGGGCCTAAGTTACTCAGGCTGGCTTTGAACTTGTGAATCTCCTGCCTCACTCTCCCTTGTAGACAAATTCATTATATATGTATATATATAATATATAAAATATTATAGTAATTGGAAAACTAAATGAGAATCAAGATGTGATCTATAATTTTTTACACACAAATTATTCCCAAAGACAGAGGGAAAACACCTTTGTCAGATGAGGTTACTATTTTGGGGGAAGTACAAAACAGAGTGTAGTCAGTAAATCGAAACACCTCAGGAACATACTGGACCCAGACTTCTCTAGCCCATGCTCTGACACAGCTCAGCCAAGGAGAAAACAAGCGATTTCTAGTGGAGCTCTGATGTGGGGACTTACAGCCTTCAGGGTAAGTCACTGCCAGCTACGTGGCCCAGGGCACACACTTAACTCAGGGGCCTCCGGTATCCCAGATGCAAAAATGGGAAGCACCTCAACACCTGCTTCAGGCAGGAAAGTCAGGGTAATGTCTAGAAGGAACTTGGGACCTTGTAGACACTCAACAGGCAGTGGCTTCCATGACTTCCCTTGAAGGTCCTTCCTATAGGCTCACTGCTTGCTCCTTAGCTGTGGAAGGAACTGACCAACCTTTCTTTTACACCCCAGACATGATCATGGGTCACCCTTCATAACACCCTGGTTTTATACTGTGCAATGAGTTCCATCCAGTCCATTCTGCACAAGAACCATTACTGTCAAAACAGGTCATTGTCCAGTATACATATTTGCAAACTGTTCCCATTAGAGAAGAGCAGTACAGTGTCCACACTGTCCGGTGAGTGCAGAGGTCCTCCAATCAGAGCTCATCAGAGTCTTGGTGGACAACCCATCTTCTCTGACCGATCCAGCCTTCTCTGTCCTGTTGTCACTTGACAATGGAGATGAAGCTGTTGTAACCACTTGGCCTTAGAGGAAGCTCTTAGGGAAGAGATGGCTGGAAATGTCTCAGTGTGTGGCAGAACAATAGGCTTCCAAGGGAACGACAAACAGCGGAGTCTGGGAACTGCTGACTAAAACCACGATCTTACAGATCTTGACTCAGCTGCACTGGTTCAAAGAAAAACCAAAGAAGCCTGCAGCTGTGAGCCGTCCTCTTCTGTGTCTTTGGAGGGTAGCAGCAGTCCTCCAGCGGTCCCTGGATTCCCGTGCTCCCAGCACCATCATAGTCCTCTGCCCGCTGGATCTTTCTATCACCCCATTTTACAGAAAGGGAAAACAGAGGTCCAGACACAATAATTCGTGCAAGGTCAACCAACTAGCAAGAGGCACGCCTGCTGTGACAAATCATTGAGGAAAGAGTCTTTGTACAGGAAGGATTGGGCCCATGACACTCTTGGGCATCTCAGAGTGACCTGATGACACTGGACTTTGTGTGGGGTACATGTAGCTTAAGTTAATGTGAGAGATGTGACCTTGGGTGAGCATCTTTAAGCTTTAGCAGAAATAAAAATAATCATTTCCTGAGTTCCCTAAGCTTCATTAAAATTTATATCCTTTTATCTTTTTTTGCATTAAGAACCCTGTGAGGTAGAATGTGCCATTGTCCCCATTTAACAGATGAGGAAACACTAATAATGAAATCCCAAGCCTCCTGAGGTAATGGGGTTCCAGCTCAGTTCTCTTTGGTGGCCTTTGCCAGGGACAAGGGTCAGCATATATTCTGAAGGACTGCTGCATTATGCATTTTGGTGGCTGCATTCAGAAGCTTTCTGGCCTACAATATCCATTGCAACCCAGCCCTACAACTGTAACACAAGAGCAGCCACAGTCCACATGAGAGTGTAGCTATGGTTTGTCCAATCACACTCAAACAGGCCATGAATAGCATCTGACCTGTGGACAGCATCTTCCCATGGACAGTAGCTAGCCTGTGGACAGCAGCTAGCCTGTGAACAGCAGCTAGCCTGTGGAGAGCAGCTAGCCTGTGGACAGCAGCTAGCCTGTGAACAGCAGCTAGCCTGTGGAGAGCAGCTAGCCTGTGGGCAGCAGTTAGCCTGTGGACAGCAGTTAGCCTGTGAACAGCAGCTAGCCTGTGGACAGCAGCTAACCTGTGGACAGCAGCTAGCCTGTGAACAGCAGCTAGCCTGTGGACAGCAGCTAACCTGTGGACAGCAGCTAGCCTGTGAACAGCAGCTAGCCTGTGGGCAGCAGTTAGCCTGTATGCAGCAGCTAGCCTGTGGGCAGCAGCTAGCCTGTGGACAGCAGCTAGCCTGTGGACAGCAGCTAGCCTGTGGGCAGCAGCTAGCCTGTGAACTACAACTTACATCTAGCCTGTGGATAGCATATGGCATGTAGATCGCATCTAGACTGTAACTTTAGTTTCCTGGTCCTTGACCTACACGGACAGCTTTTCCTCCAAGGGCAATCCTGTTAAAAATGCCCCGTCTCTTCCTACCTTCAAAGTACCCGAGCTCAAGTGCTGGATGGCTGACATAAGGAACCAGGAAAATAGTGGAATCTGTGGATACAGCATAGGTAAGGTAATTTATGGATCTCTATCAATCAGTGAAGTGACAGTATACTGACCACAGGAACAGAGAGCTGGTGTCAAGCTGACAATTAAAGTGGTCACAGTTCCCCAGGGCAAGGAGAAAGGTGTGTGGGAGCATACCAGTAGGGGCAACTGGGATTAAGACCACAGGGTCCAGACTCTGAGTTTTGAGGGTTCATCTCCAGCTCTTACTGAGGATACAAACACCAGGAGAACTAGAGGCAGAAACCTGTTCAAAGAATCGGGGCAAAGACAAGTTGGAGAAGAAACTGACATTGTCTATGGGTAAGATGTGGCTACTAAGATCTAGATTGCTTGGGACCTATAGCTGAGCTTGGATGGGGAGTCCACAAAATGACTCTCCGAAAGAGGAGTTACGACGTCCCCCTCCAGCTGGTAACCTATTCTAGGAATCTTTGAACAGAAGCGGAATGTGACAGTTCAGCCACTAGACACTGAATGAGGCCACTAGACAGAAAAAGGAGGAGGAGGAGAAGGAGGAGGAGGAGGAGGAGGAGGAGGAGGAGAAGGAGAAGGAGAAGAAGAAGAAGAAGAAAAGAAAGAAAAGAGAGAGAAAGAAAGAAAAGAAAAAATGTATTCAATTCAGCAGATATTATTAAACACGTACTATGTGTCAAACTCTGGGGATGGCACATGCCCCCAAGCCTGTCACCATTTACAAGTGAAACAAGAATGTGCACAACGTACAGATTATGGAAACAAAGCTAGCTACACATGACTGGGGGCAGAGAAGGGTTCAGACTGCTCAAGAGGACCTTTTGTAAGAATCTGATACAAAAGCATCACTTTGGCGCTCTTGCCACAATAGGCTCTTGGCAGGCTCTCAAAAGCACCAACCTCTGGTCCTTGCTGAAGCACTCCCGCACCTGAGGACTCATTTCCCCCAAGAAATGCTTCAGAGTTCCCAGAAGAAAAGAGGAGGCTCTTGCTAACCAACTTGTTTTAAAGGGGGATATTATTTTGTGCTTTCAAAGTCCTCACCAGAAAGTGGAGCAGATAAGGAGGGAAGCCCTTGTCTGAATGAGTAATTGCAGCCTTAGAGGAGATGAGGAGCTACAAAAGTCCTGAAGAGATGGTTGTCAGGAACTAAATGTTAGCACTGGAGGTGACTTTTAAAAAAACCCCAGGCTCAGAAAGATAGTAAAAATGCATGGAATCGTCTGTCAGCTTACAGCTTTAGTGTATATTTCGCCTTCTCTGTCAGTGCATTAGAGGGCAGAGAAGAGAAGCTGCTCCGGGAATCGGTCAACTGCTAAGGTGTGACTACACATAAACCTCGGTGCTCTTCCACGATTACAATCCCACTCCAGGGGTGGTGCTCTGTACCAGTGCGGGACTCCTCTGGTCCCCTGTGCAGTCTACAGTTTTGAATGGAGCCCTATCCAAGTGTTAACAAAAGCATAAAAATCCATTACTCACAAATCTAAAAAAAGTTCCCATAAAGCTTAGAGAAGAACACATCCAGGAACTAATGAGTTGAAAATTAGTTTTAAAGCAATAAGACTCAGCTGGGCATGGTGGCACATGCCTTTTATCCTAGCACTCAGGAGGCAGAGGCAGGAGGATCTCTGTGAATTCAAGGCCAGCCTGGTCTACAAAAGCTAGTTCCAGGACAGCCAGGGCTACACAGAGAAACACTGTCTCAAGTCTCACAAATAATAATAATAATAATAATAATAATAATAATAATAAGACTTATCAGACAGTTTTAGAAAGGTTATTAGAATAAAAAAAATTGGCACAGATTAACCATCTAATTTCTAAGTGCACTTTGTAATGTTCCTAGCAAGCTGCCTCTTCTCCCAGGATGATAAATAGCAAAAAGCTTCGGTCAAGTGTCACTGGATTCTGGTGACTTTTGTATGTTTTTGTTTTGCTTTATTGCATTGCCAAGAGTAGAATTTTAAGAAAAAACACTACAAAGGTTTCAAAAACCCTATTTATTCTCTATCATCAAAAATAGCAACAGGGGGCTTTATACAACTTTTCTGTGAGTACCCACCAGTCTGTTTTTTTTTATTTTTTCTTAAAAAAAATAGAAGTTAGATAAAGAAAAATGATTTGGTTTTTTTTTTCTTAAAAAATAATGTAAGGAAACACTTAATCAGATAGCCCAAGGAGTCATCAGAAATACGTGTAGCAAGAAAGCTTCGTTTGTGGCCCTCTCCGGCCTTTGCACGTCTTTATACTAAACTAGAAAGAGAATGTACAGTACCAGTGTTCCCCAACCTGCTTGGATCAAATTGTTTGTTTTTATACCCATTATTGCTAAGCCAGAGTGTTGACGCTGGAGCCGAGGAGTCCACTCATAGAGGATAGAACTGAGAGGCCGCCTCCGAGGACTGGATCTCCACCTGGGCCATTTTGAACTGGGTGCACTGCAGCCATTTGCGGAGGGCAGCTAGGCTAGCACTGCTCTGGCCCGAGCCGGGCAGCGTCCTTAGGCTGTGGTGGTTCACGTTGTTCTGGATGGCCTGGAGACGAAGCTGGAGGCCGGCGGATAAGTGCTGTTGAGAAAGGGGAGACCGTTCAGTCCTTTCCACTAAGTGTGTGAGTCAGGTGGGGATGGGCATGGCAGTTGGTCGGCAGGTAGAACTCAGATCTGGCCTGAAAAAAAGCCTTCAAAACTGACAGTGCTTGGGGGTGGAGGAGGGATGGGGCAGCATGAGCCTGCTCTACCTTGCTACAGTTATCCTGGCCCAACTCCATCCAAATAATGATGAGCTCATGTTGACTCACTGCAACGGGAACATGGAGCTAATGCCCAGCACCTGGCCCGATGCACTGGTCCTGAACTGCTGCTCATATTCAGCACAGCAGCCTGGTACCGTGGTTAGCACTTGGCTCTCTAAAGGAACGTTCCTATTTCAAATCCCAGTTCCCCCAGGGAAGCCGTGGGACAGGGTCTAGTTGTCTGTATTAAGTTTTTGTCCCAGGTAAGGTGGGGACATATTTATTTCAGGGGCTCCATAAGACAAGTGGGTTAACAGATTTTCTAGAGGGTGAGTTGGCCCATTGCAGATGCTTGGTACATACTTATAAGGGTTTTTCTGTGTCTATGACAGTTGCCACTGAGAGGCCATGCCAAATCCTCCTTCCCCAGTTCCTCACCAAGCCCTCCTGGCTAGTCCTCCGTACTTTGTGAAATTACCACGAATTGCCACAAATCAGATGAACCGTGGGACTGGCACTTTGGAATGCCTCAGGCAGGAAGGTTAGTGGCTCATCTTGATCCTAAAAACTGGAAGTGAAGTAGGTTCTAATGGTCCCTAAGTCCCCGCCCTGCTGGCCACCACTAGCTGGTCAGGAGGCAAAGGCGCTGGCAGCTGCCCTGCGGCTTTTGATGGCCTATGGGTCTTGAGTTCACACCCCTCTCCTTCCACCAGTATGGCTTCCCGACCTGGGGAAGGAGAACCAGCAAGAATGCAGCTGCCCTCTTCCTCTTCCCCACACCCCAGGGCAACAGACAGACACCAGTTGTGGACAGTGCATTGTTTGGCTCTGCCGTTAATTGTCAGGTCCCACTATATTTGTCACTAAGGTGTATATGTCAAAGTGTCACCACCCGTGAGACATGGAATTGGGAAGTACATTCACTTGGGCCCCCCTTCCAGGGTTTGGGACCCTATCCAAGTCACTGTTTATTATGGTCTCAAATTTCCTCACATGTAAAACAAAGGAAATGGGTTCTTTCTAGTCTAATTCTGCCATTCATTCAGTTCTATCCTCTCTTGCTGGAATTCTCTCTATCCCAGAAAAAAAATCAATTTGGTTTGTCAGATGACATCACCAAATATGCCTGGGCCAGACTCCGTGTTTATCCTCCTTAAGTAGAGTTTGTCATGGACTGAACCTGCTCAGACCTAGGGTAGAGCTCTTCCACCCCTGCCATCTTCATCCACAGTGAGCAGTGGGACCAGGGCTCCTAGTGATGCCCTCTGCAGGCCCCTTACCTGCCACAGGCCTCCAGTATTATTAGCCCATGAGACCTGAGTAGGCCAAAACTGTTCTTTCTCTATAGCCAAGGGAGTAGCAGTGTCCCCTTACAGATGCTCTGAGGATCTCTGGAGCAAGCAGAGCTTCCAGCCAGTCCAGGGGATGGCTTACCTTGGTGTTTGACTGAATCATTGGCAACCACATAGGGATCAGCTGTATGGAGAGAGACAGGAGACCGGTTATTGCTGTCTCCCACCCCCCACATTAATGTGCTTCCATTAGTGCACAGGCACACAGGCTGCACCGAGCACACTCAACACCAGAAGAGATTGTGTGTCTGCCACACGGGCTGCACCGAGCACACTCAGCACCACACGAGATTGTGTGTCTGCCACACGGGCTGCACCGAGCACACTCAGCACCACAACAGATTGTGTTTGCCACAGAGCTGCTGCTATCAGCAGTGTCACTGAGATGGCAACACCTGGAAGCTAATAAGCACCCCGTAAATGCTTAAAACACACAATTTAGAGTGACTGATGGGCTCTTGAAAGCTACCAAGCATGGGAAATTAAATGTGTATTTATTTAATTAAATCCCCACTTTCTTGAAATGGGATTTCCTTGTCAGGATCTTTAGCGCTGTAGCTCTGGGAGAAAGGGCGACTGAATTTGCCTATAAAAGAGTATCCCAGGACGGTGTGCAGAATACCACTGAGATACAGAGTGTGTCCACGGCAGGAAAAAGAGAGCCCTGGAGGAGCCTGATTTAGAGTGGGAACTAAGACTAAACCCACAAGCAGCTCCGGGGAGCATGCAGGGAGGAGAGCAGGGGGGATGCATGAGGGGCTGGGGCAGGTTCACAGGAAAGCTCTGGAGAGAGTTGAGAAGGCAAGGTGGAGCTGGGAATGCTTAAGGTGCCCACAATGCTCCTCTCTACTGTGCTCTGAAGTGTCCCTTCCTTGGGGGTCATGCAACCCCATGCTGCCTCCAGCAGCAGCTCCCTGCTCTCCGCTTTGACCTCTTGATCACACTTCAGTCTACTGAAATGTGAATAAGTGTTCATAGCTTCGTAAATCTGGAAGTCAGGGGCAGGACATGGTGTTCATTTCCTGATGTGTCCCCCGAACTCTCATTGGTGACAGGCAAATGGGGTAAGAGATGACAATCCAGTAGATTTGGGAATGTTGGTTTATTCTGACACTTCTCAGTGCCATCATACACACAGATAGGCATTGTGACACTCCACTCTGAGCTCCTCCTGTCACTCCAACACAGCAGTCGGGCTGTTACAGGTTAAATAATGTTTCCACAAAATCTGCATTGCTGTTTTAGCCCACAGTGGCTCAGAATGTGGCCTTATTTGGAATTGGTACTGCTGAAGATGTAGTCAGTTAAGATGGGGCCACACAGGCCAACACAGCTGGCATCCTTTTGAAGAGGAGAGACTGGACACAGATACATAGGAAGAACACTATGAAAAGATGGAAGCAGAGGGCCGCAAGCCAAGGGATGCCAAAGATCTGCCGAAGGCTGGGAGAGAGGCAGGAAGATGCCCCTCTCTTTGACCCCAGAAAGAGCCAGCCCCTCTGGTACCTTGTTCTCAGCCTTCCAGTCTCCAGAACTGGAAAGCATATACTTCTGATATTTAAGTTGCCCAGCCTAGGTTCTCACCATGGTGGCCTTGATAAAGAATACAAAGTGCTTGGCAAAGGGATAATGGATACAGCTGTGTGAGTGTGCAGAGCAACAAGGGATAGGAGGGGCTCATGGGTGCCCAGGGGAAAGATTCTTAGGAGAGAGTCATGGAAAAGAGGCTTAGAAAACAAAGGCCAAGCAAACCTCCATGAACCCACAGACGATCTTAGATGTCCCATTAGGGGATTTGGGCCTTATTCTGAATTCAGAATGCATCCCAGAGAGGGGCAGAGTGACACCCCATTCACCATAAGCAGAACTAGGATAGAGACAGTTGAAGGAAGATGAGGAAAGACATGGAAATTGGAGTCAGGGTCCAGTGTGAAGATTGCCTGGTGGCTCAGGTAAACCAGGAGTAGTTTCTGAGCACGCAGAGAGTCTGCCTACAGAGGCAGCCTGCAGTGATCTACAGAGACATTCTGACTGCACAGGCAACCTGGAGGATCTGAAGATGAAGCTGCTCTTCACATGGCTGAAGTTTGCAGGGCAAACTGGAGAGGGGAGAGCTGCACAGAGACAATGGGAAAAAAGAACTGCAGACAGAGTGTCTCACAAAGGGTCTCCGCACTTCAGCTGAAAACTGGCCAGCACACAGCAATAGAAACAACACCCAGAATGGAAGAAAAATGATGCAAAGTGTGGAAGAGAAATAACCCTGGCTGGTCACATAAGAGCACGAAGAGGTTGTGCTCACTGGCTGGTGGGAAGTGTTTACGTCACAGAACAAGTACCCATAAGATGGGTGCTATCTCATGTGGTGCTACTGAAGAGATACAGTCATGGAAGGTGCTGCTCCTGTCTCAATTAACAAATCTGAAAAGCGAGCCTAGGAAAGGTTAAAAGACTTGTGAGTAATTTAATTATGACACTGAATGAGCTCAAGAAGCTACAAATGAATATAAAAACAGGCAGCACCCAAATCCACAATGTCAAGAATCCAATTAAAAAAACAATCCACCAGACAAGGCGAGCAAAGAAACAGGAAAGTGACCCACAAGTGAAGAGACCAGTCAGCAGAAGACAGACAAAAACGACAAGGACAGGAGGATTAGCAGAAGGATAAAGAAAGAATCTTACACCTACTTTTAATTAAAAACAGCTGTTTATTAAGTGTGTGCATGCATGTGTGTGTGTGTGTGTGTGTGTGTGTGTGAGAGAGAGAGAGAGAGAGAGAGAGAGAGAGAGAGAGAGTGTTTGTGAGTTCGCATATGAGTAATGTGAGTATGGATATGGAGGCCAGAGAACAACTTGCAAAAATCTGTTCTCTCTCATACGGGTTGCAACCATTAAGCCCAGGGAATCAAGCTGGTGACAAGGACAGTATCTCTGCCTGCTGAATGCCTTATAAACCCTACTATGCCTATTCTCAGGAAGATCACAAAGAAGAAAGGCCGAGACTGGTAAGTGGAGAGACTGAGGACAAAGGTTAAAGAAATAATGGTGATGTTTAGCATATATATATATATATATATATATATATATATATATATATATCCCAAATCTCAGCAAACTCACAAACAAGAAATATGAAGAAAGTTCTACTGGAGGAATCATGTTCCAAATTCTTTATGGCAGTGGTTACATTGAAATCTTCATGGCAGGGAAAGAAAAAGGAACATTTTAACATACAAGGAAGGAAAGGAAGCAGGTAGACTCCTGACGGGAAAATGGAAGCAAGCAGATGGTGGGTCGGGACACCCACACTGCTGGATTACTGTGGATCCAGTGTCCAGTACCCATGAAACTGAATTAAAGCACGGCAAACTGGGTGTTGTGGTATGAACCTGTATTCCTGGGAACAGAGGCAGGTAATTACTGAAATTCAAAGCCAGTCTGGTCCTATATAGTGAGACCTTGTCTCAAAATACACATAGATAAATATTGCAAAATATTGAGACATAAAAAGCAAAAGTAAGGAATTAACAGCAGACTAACGTGAGACATGTTTTCTTAAAAAGCGAAGAAGGAAATAAGAGAAGGTAGACATTTAAGCATGAAGAGCTGGACAGCGGCCCACACGAGGACTGGAGAATTGATGGCAGACAAAGGGACTGGGGATGGCTCTGTGGTTACGAGCCTGTCCATTCAGGACCCAGAACCCATGTCAGGTGGTCCACAACCACCTGTAACTCCAGGCCCAGGAGATCAGCACCCTCTTCGGGTGTCATCAGGCACCCACACACATGTGGCACCCACACAGTCACACATTCGTACACATAAATAAAAACAAAACAAAAAACCTTAAAAAGAAAATGGAAAATGGAGACAATGGGAAGTATAACAAATTTTAAACCTGTTTCAAGTCTCTTAAAGAGGCTGTTGATTATTTAAGGCCAAACCAGCAAGACTGTGCTCGGTGGTGTAGACCTGTGCTCTCAGCTGCCTAGGACATGCCAAGGCCGGATGACTGTAAGTCTGAGGCTTACCTGGGTAACTTGGTGAGACACTATGTCAAAGGTAAAAAGTAAAAAGAGTTGAGGATGGTTTCATGGTGGAATTATGTCAAACGGTGTGCTTTTTTTAAAGACTTGCCTAGCATGAATAAGGCCTGAGGTTCAAACCCTAGTACATGGTCATCACCACCACCATCATCATACTTGTCTATCAGCTTCATAATATGTGGTTTCCTTTATATGTATGAAGTCAGAGTTCTATACAAGCATAGAGCCAGGATGTTGGAATGGGTACAATGTAAGTACAGTATTACTTGAAGATCATAATAAGCTAAAAACATAGCTTATATGTTTATAGATTTATAAACTCCAAATCAACCACTAAAAGTAAAAATGGCATACAGCTAAGAAGATAATCTGAAAAATGTCTAAAAATATCTACAGGTCAAGCAAGAAGCTAAAACAGAAATTCAGAAGTGTTTTTAACTCAGTGAAAGTGAATAGCTATCAAATTGAGGGAAAGTAATGAAAACAGCACCTAAAAGGAAACTAACACTCTACAGCAGTGGTTCTTAACCTTCCTAATATTGCGACCCTTTAACACAGTTCCTTGTGTTGAGATGACCCCAAACCATAAAACTATTTTATGCTACTTCATAGCTGTAATTTTGCTACTGTTATAAATCCTAATGTAAATATCTGATATGTAACCACTACTTTAAACACTGGTATTTGAAAAGAAAATTCTCTCAAATTAATGATCCCAAATTCCATCTTAAAAAATTAAACAAAAGAAAATTACAATCAGAATAAAATCATAAAATTCTCTATTAGTCTGAAGAAAGAAATAAAAACAGAATAGAGGATAAAGAACAAATAGGAAATACAGAAAACAACTGAAAAGCTGACAGACTTCAACATAACAACATGACAAAATACATTAAATAAAAATGGGCTAAAGACTTTAACCAAAAGGAAGAGACTGTCAGATTGGATGTTTTCTAAAAGACAATTAACTACACACCATCTGTAAGGAATACACTTTAAATATAGACATAATTTAAAAAGATGAAAATAGATTTACCATCCTAACACTAGTCAAGAAAAATCTACCCTGCTTTTT